ACCTTTTTTAAATAAATTTGAATTTTTTTGTCACAAATGGATAAACATTTTGTGACAATTCCAGGTTAAAAATGACAAGATATATCCGCTTTTCAATTAGATTTGTTCTTTTTTACCATGCACTGAGACATAATCCATATTCTTCTGTTCACCAGTTTCAATTTATTTATTGAAATCTGTCGATTCAGACTTGTTGTTATGAATAATCATAAGTTAAAAATGAAGAAATAAAATTTGATTTCTATGAAAGGAAATAAATAAAAACCATTACCATGTTTAAAAAAATAGTATAATGTGTAATATAATCATAACATTCATAACAGTTTCTCATGCATATATTTATATATGCATATTTCTCTCTTTTTCTCTTAAAAAATCTTGATATACAGTGTTTCTCATGCAATAAAAATATCATATACATGTAAATGAAAAAGGAATATATACAATGTACTTAGTATTATAATCAAGGAATGCTTTCCACACAAACATGAAAAAGAGATCATATAAATCGCAAAAATAATATTTTATATTTACATTCCGTGTATTTTTCCTTATGAAATTCATTAGAAATCCACGACATTCAAATTTCTATAACACACGCGAAACCTTGTCACCGCGCGTTAGAATACACAGTAGGAACTACATGCATTTTCTATTACCTGGGAACACCAAAATGTACAATATGTTGACTCAATTTAAGCAAAAATTATCATCCTGTTAAATTAACGTAAAATTACTACAAATGTGCGTTTAAAATTAATTTGTCACTTTTTTCCCTCGCAATGTTTGTTTGCGTTTTTTAACTTTGCAACGTCATCTGACGTCACAAACGGCTCTTACGTCTATTAACCACGTCAGTTTTGAAAGGAGCTAAATTCACATTAAAGATTAATGAAATAAGTATTTATGAAGCAGGAAAATTAGAGAATGTAAATATAAGCATTGAATTCATATTTTTGGCTGTCTTCGGTCCTATAACACACCTGGCCGTGCCGACAGATTTATCATACCGCGCTAACGCGCGGTATTCAATTTGTCGGCACGGCCAGGTGTGTTATAGGACCGAAGACATCCCAAAATATGAATTCAATGCTTAAATAAACTCATTAAGAAACAAATCAATATCATGGCCTTAAAAGTACTCTGTAAACAAAAGTAAAAACATTCTGACATAAGGTAAAGAAAAAAACCCTTTAATCTTGATGCATTACAAAATTTCACAAACAAAAAACTCAACGTTTTACAGTATATCTCTCGATATTGTTTGTAAAAGTCAATCTCTTAGAGACTAGAAATCATTTTAATCAACTTGTCCAAAGTATCTCCAAATGAAGTATACATACATCTACACAATCTATACATAATTTTCTTTGTACTCCAACATGAAACATACTGATGACCTCTAAATTCATTTAATGCGACAAAAAATGCTGGAGGAAAAAGTGCCACCAAATTTCTCGGACCTTCAAACAATATGCAACTTGCCTACTTCGTTGTGGAGGTCGTTCCAACACAATTGCGACTCGAAGCTTATTCTGGAAAGTCTTCATGATATATATCGCCAATTGAAATAACAATTCTAGTTGCTAAATCGTGTTCGTGAGGATCACATAGTTAAATTTCCTTTAAAATATACAGCATATACTTACTTCAATTTCTTAATAATCAGGATCAGGCTCCTGCAAAAGAAATTGGGTCACATTTAATTTTTTTTTAAATTTTTTTTTTCAACTATATTTCAGTTGATTTGAGGACATTTTTATCATGCTCCATTGGCATAAAATATTTATCAACAAACTCACTTTAAGATATAATTTGATGCTTCCGAAAAATTCAAATCAATAACAACTTACATCGTTTCTATCTCTCCTGACGTCGATCCGAATTTGTTCATGTGTTTGATTTGTTCTATAATATTCCTAAAATAAATTATATATAATTGTGTTGAAAAGGAATATCTAGCATTTTAAGAAGAGCATTTAAAAATATATTTTTTATGATATAAAACACAAAACAATAGTGCCTTTCACTAATTTAACAATATTCAAATGTCAATGGGTACATGAATAATTATAATTCGTAATTTTTACTCACTTTCAATTGTAATTTGTTAATTAAAAAAAAAACAAACTAAGAACTGCTCATATGTTTTCTTAATTTTTTCCTTCTGTTTAACAAGAACAAAAATCATTTACCTTGGCCCCAGGATAATCCGGATCTGGAGTATAAGGCTCGAACTTATTCTAAAAAATAAAAAGAAGTACTTTATATTATTCTAGTTTACTTCATTATCACTTTCTAAAAGCAATTGTAAATGGGGATGCTCTTGAAATTCATAATGAAATAGGTTAAGATATAATGACAGTGATCGATATCCTCTATAAAAATGTATATTTGTGAAAAGGGAATAGAAATTCACGAGATGGAATATCAGTTGCCACAAAGGAGTAAGCATTCCTTTCCATGTCATATATGTGCTATTTGTAATATTCAGATAAACTGAAAATCGTAGAACAAAATAGAATGGTAAGTATGAAAGAGGTCATTCAACATTTGGCTTAAAGATAGATTGAATCGTATTTGCAAACAAGTTCATTGTATCGGCCCAAGAAATTATGGAATCTTGACTTTAAACGAGAACGTAGATATCATTGAATCACATACTAGTAATTGTTTTAAAGGTGATAATTGCATAGTGCACATAAATCAGGGAAGCTGATGAAGAAAGATTGAGGTCATCATGTTTATCATTTGGTTTGTAATTTGCCATCAATATTTTTAACTAGTAAAGCATCCAAATCTAAAACAAGTGTGTTATACTCTGTGAAGTCTTACAGTTCTAGGTCAAAGGACTACATCAAATGAAAATGAATGTTTTAAATTAATGATAAAATGGTGTAGATATATCTAAATATCTAACTGAAGGTTATGGAAAGACACCTCTTAAATCATGTAAAATAAGTTTAATAACATATCTTTCAATTACAACTACTCTTTCTTTACCAGAGAGAGAGAGAGAGAGAGAGAGAGAGAGAGAGAGAGAGGGAGAGAGAGAGAGAGAGAGAGAGGAGGGAGGAAGGGAGGGAGATAGAGAGAGGTATTGAGGTTTTCAAATATTGAGTATTTACTCACATAAGGTGTTTTTAATCTTGAATCTGATGAGACCGCTTGCTTAAAGAGTAGAAATAAAAAAATAAGAGATAATATACTAGTAATTATTTGTAATAAAACATCATACTTATAAAGCAACGTTGAACCTTTTTGTGCAGGGTCTTTATTTTCTACGAAAGCCCAGAAGGCTCATTCGAGATTCGAAATACGAGATTCGAAATTCGAGATTCGAAATACGAGATTCGAAATTCGAGATTCGAAATTCGAGTTTCGAGATTCAAGATCCAAAATAACCAATCAAAAGGCGGTTTGAGATTCAATTACTCCCCTTTATTATTTTTTACTATTAAGAAATCGTTGATTATTTTAATACCGAGGAGGTCATTTTATTAAATTACAACGCAAGAAAAAGTGTAGCGATCAAACTGGAGCGGATCAAAGATCTAATTTTAATTAGATTGCCCCCAACCCCCACGTTTTGGTACAGTAGTGCAGTATAGTCAAAGAAGTTTAAGTAGTAGTGTATTAAAAGAAATTAGGTACATGTACTACATTGTAAATGAAGTTCGATCCCCCCCCCCGTCCCCTTTCACGAAATAGGATTTTCGGGTTTGGACAATTTTTTTCTGTCAGTTTTTATTTCCAGGTTTGAAAATTATAATATTTTTGTCTGCCCCCCCCCCCCCACCCACCCACTCCACCCCACTTTCAAAATCGATGCTTCGTCTCTGTAATAATTAGTACTACGGGTTTCAAGGTGGATAGTGTTTGTGACACGGTATTAGAAAGTGGCCAGTGACCAAGTTTATGAAACCAATAGACAGCCCCTTAAATACGGATGGCTGAATTATGCATGCTTAATAAAGATAATGACCCATTGGGAATAATAAATTTTAAAAAATCATTGTTAATCCCCTTATCCCCACCCCAACCTCAAATAGGGGTTATGGTAATTGGAAGTTATTTTTGAATGGACATAAGCATTAAGTAACTGTTTTCTATAGTATATTATATAAGAAAAAATATTACTGGAATGGCCAAGTGGGAGGGGGGGGGGCAACATTCAAGTTATGATAAATATATATTCGATAATTATTTTAAAGGAAACCGCTCGGGTCTAGCAAGATACATACCCATTCATTACACAATTTCATACATCTTCAAGATCATCGAGTTCTTGATCTTTAATTTTATGTAGATTTTCGTAAAATTTTCTAACTTCTTCCTAGTTAGAATAATCTAACTGTGTCTCCAGGCGCGGATCCAGAAATTTTTTCCAGGGGGGGTCCACCCAGTTAAAAAAAAAATCCAAACCCAGATATTTCTTGACAAGCCAAAAAAAAAAAACCCTTAACTCAATGACTTCTATTGCTTCAAATCTCTCACATTTCATACCCATTTCACACACATCCTTGTTCACCAGGGGCGGGTCAGCGTTTTCCACGGGGGGGGGGGGGGGGGGGGGGTCCAAGGTGACTTTTCTCTTGCTTTAGTATATACATTTTTTAACCGTGGAAATTCCAGGGGGGGTCCTGACCCCCCCGACCCCCCTCTAGATCCGCGCATGGTCTCGGTACAGGCCCTCACCACAGTTAGAATACGTCCCATATACTTGCAATGTAGCAAATCGGAGCGGATCCGCTCCGAAACGATTTTGAAGAATATAAAATGATTTGCACTGGGAATAACTACCAAAATAATCAAAACAAACCTTTTTGAGATTGCTTATGCCTTTTATCCCATAAAATAATCCATATAAATACGAAAATCCAATTAATTTTCTCAACGTTTTTCTCTCGATTCAAATTACTACATTCGGAACTCTCTAGATTGTTCCTAGTAAATGCACTATGCGAGTTATCGCCCGTGTTTCTTTCTGCTATATTACGAATACACGGAACGAATTCTATCGTTAAACGGGGTCCGTAGGACAATATCATTTTAACGATAGAACATTCTATCTAACTTCTTCCAAGATCTGTTGTTGTTAGTTTACATATTTGCCATCATTATTAATCAAGTTGTTGATATTCTTATTTACGTTATTTCGTTTTTCTAGGGCACAAAATATGTTGTAGGTTTCCTAATAGAGGAAATACATAAAAATTAAGTTTTCAATTAATTATCTTGGTCTAAGGCTTTGATAACTTGAATTAATTAAAAATCATAGATACAATACAGACTGGAATTTATTTTATTTTATATCAAATAGTAGATGAGTCTAGCTAAGCTGCAGAACTGTGGCGTTATTGTTTTATATTTTAGTCTCTCACCATAGTGTTATGGTCAAACTCTCAAATATACTAGTAAAACCATAATGCTCATATCATTGGGGGGGGGGGGGCACAGCCACACATTTTCAGTTTTCAACAACCAAAAATTTCTTGACAACCAAAACCAAAGCAAAAGAAGTCATCAGATGTTTTTAATGAGGGGGCACAAAATTGAGGGGGCACAAGCATATGGTAGTTGTGCTTTCTATAGCATTTTATATATCGGCAAAATTATGGGGGGGGGGCACAATATAACGAAAGGTACCCTCATTAGTATTTCATATAAATAATAATTTTCTCCCTCATCAATGCTCTTATTAAAAAAAAAAGTCAACCGAAGAATTCCGCTATTCAAAGATAAGACCATATAATATTCTGTATACGTATCTATTGTTTTGTTTAATGAGGAAAAATAAGAATGTATATATATTTTCCAAAATGTAACCTAAAATTCCTTTTCATTTCGTTTTAATACATATATCTTTTTTTCTTGCATTATCATTTAAGCAAATGACCCATTTCATATGAATATATTCAACGATTTCTTGATAGTAAAACATAATAAAGGGGAGTAATCAAAGTTTACCCTGCCTTTTGATTGGTTAATTTGGATCTTGAATCTCGAAACTCGAATTTCGAATCTCGAATTTCGAATCTCGTATTTCGAATCTCGAATCTCGAATGAGCCTTCTGGGCTTTCGTAATTTTCATATATTTTTCGTTAAATACCTGTAGCTATATACAATGTACATGCATACATACCTTTTCACCATAGGTCTTATGTGTTGATACACGAGGTGCTTCAGGGATACTGCTAGCGTCTCTTTTCTGTAAAAATTATGTCATTCATATTTTGATTAAAAAGAATTCTGTCTACTTATATCTTGAATAAACTATTATATGTATTATGTATGGTTGTAAAACGAAGTTAGAATGAACCCCTTTTCCCACCCCTAAAACAATCAAATGGCTTTTCAAATTTCAGAGCTTCAAAAGGACTAAATCGTCATTTAATTCTGCAATGCAGGATTTATAAGATCATATGCTATTTAAATTAACGGTATTTTTATTTTTAAAAATCCTTTGTATAAAAATGTTTTAAAGCAATGGTTTATGGAAGGGAATTACCGCCATAATTCTATGCGTCTTGCATTTATTCTTATTATGCTTACTTGCTGATTCTTTGGTATTATATTAATTATATGTTACTTTATTGTTCTCATATTCTGCCTTCTTGCTTATTCTTTGGTACTGTGTTAATTATATGTCACTTTATTGTTCTTAAATTCTGTCATCTTGCTTATTCTTTAGTATTATTGCAATTATATGTCACTTCATTGCTTTCGTATTCGTGCTTCTTACATTTAATTTTAAACTTCTTTCATTCTTTATTTCATGTTTATATCTAAGTTGCTTTGTTCTTGTAAATTCCCTCTTCTTTCTTTTACATTGATACATAGTTTTAAACACATTACTATCATTATCTGAATTAAAATCGTAAATTCAATTACGCAATCCATGAAGCACTTTCAACGAAGACGAATCAAGTAGTACGAATTTGATGCCGCATTATGACGCCAGATGGCATGGTATTCGCTACAATTGCTGCTCCCGAAGAGACAACCTTCACCTTCAGAAATGCGAAACTAACCCTTTAAATATGGCGGCGAGGTATGTACGGTGGTGACTAGATGTCCAAGAGCTTAATAAAACAGTTTATTATACTTCTGTTAAGATTTTTCCTAATTAAAGTAAAAAGGTAAAATAACTTTTATACATAGTCTGAAAATTTTCACGCACAGAGAGCTATCTTTATACCTGGGTATTTTTTGCTACCCACCCTTGGCCCTGGAAAATTTTCATGCAATTTTTTAAGGCTAATTTTTGGTTTTCAGCGATAAATCTTTAGTCTGGTGATGTCTAGCTTCAGATCTGAAACGTTATGGTTTTATATAATTTTAGTCTCTAGGTTTAACCATAACGCTACATATCCCCTGAAATATACAGAAAACGTGCAATTAATGGCGCATTTTGAATTTTGCGCATTTTGTGGGAGAATATCTCCATTTACTAACATTGGTCAATTAACTACCTTTCACTCCCTAATTCTTGACACATTCTGTAGCCAATATGTAAATTTTATCCACCTCCCAACCATTTAAATTATAGGCAATAAACTCGCTTGAAAAGAATTTTCAGCAATCAAACAATTTTAATCAGACGAGTTTATCACATTTAGAAACGATTAGAAAGGTTTATGAGATGAAATATAGGCCTACAGATTTGTTAAATAATGTGCCCAAAGTTAGGGAGTGAAAGTAGTTAATTGACTAATGCTGGAAAGTGGAAAAATTCTCCCCCAAAGTGTGCAAAAAATACACTACGGGATCTGTAGATCCACAGCTCATTCTTGCAGTATTACAAATCCAACCTTTAGATATTATAATATACATCAGTATAATTATAAGCTTATCCACTGGTTGTGAGTGGGAAAGCTCTTTCATCAAACCTTTAACAGGAATTATTCCCCTCGGACAAGTCCTCGAGGTACATTTCCTTGTCGCGGGTTTGATTGATTGATTGTATGTTGTTTAACGTCCCTCTTGAGAATTTTTCACTCATATGGAAATGCCGCCACTTGTTGGTGGAGGGCTACAAATTTTGTCCTATGCTCGGCACTCGGGGCCTTTGAGCAGTGAGGGATTTTTTTCGTGCTAGCACCTACTGCGACATGGGACCTCGGTTTATGCGGTCTCATCAGAAGGACCGGTCTCCACGTCCCACAGTGGGAGTCGTAAGGATTGACTCCTTACTTCGCGACTCGAGAGCATACGCTTTTACCACTGCATCACGCGGGCGATGTCGCGGGTTTGATAAGAGACCTATTCCACTCACAACTTTCATTTTGAATACTTTAAACCTGCTAACAGTAATGTACAAAATATTTTGCTTTGGATTATGGACAGATCAGTTGATGTTCCCTCCAGCAGGTGTCTCGGCGGCTGATCACTTCAGCTCTCCATCACCAGGGAGCACCAAGAGACGACTATTAAGTGTCCTGACCAAGCCCCTCAATACACCACTGCCTGTACCAGTGTCCTCAGAGAATACTCCTACAGAAAAAAGCACTAGTACAGGGACCAAGACCACACAGATTATAGCCTTTCAGCAGGCTCTGACAAATGATGGCAGACAGGTACGGGGCAAAATTTACAATCCAAGTAGACTCCTAAAGAGATTATTCACTTTACAGTTTTTAGAAATTGTCCTTTTCTTAGCTCACCTAAGACAAAGGCTCAAGTGAGCTTTTCTGGTCAAAATTTGTCCATTGTCTGTTTTTGTCCTTGTCATTATAAACTTTTCACATTTTCATCTTTTTCTCAGAAACCACTGGGGACCAATTTCAACCAAACTTGCTACAAAGTATCCTTGGGTAAAGAGAATTTAAGTTTAATCAAATGAAGGGCCACACCCTCTTCCAAGGGGAGATAATTATAAATTAGTGAAAAATGGCATTCTTAAAAAAAAATCTTCTTCTCAAGAACCGCAAGGCCAAGAAAGATGAAACTCATGTTGAATTATCCTTAGGTAGTGTACATTCTATTTTTTTCAAATCATGACCCCCAGGGGTAGGGTTGGACCACAATGGCTGATCAAAGTTTTACATAAAATGATATAGGGAAATCTGTAAAAAAAATTTCCTCTCAAGTACTGCAAAGCCTTGATTAGTGATATTTATAATAAGTCATCCTCAAGTAGAGTAGATACAAATTTGTTCAAATTAAGACCTCCTAGTTGAGGACAGTGCCACCATGACTGATCGAAGTTTTACATAGGAATATAAAGGAAAACTCTCAATAACAGAAAAGCAGTCAACTTAAAATTATTACAAAGTAATATATACAAACTGTTAAAAAAAAAAAAACTTTAAAATCTTTCGCAAGAACTTTCTCAAGAAGTAATCTGCAGTATTAATATGGAGGCATTCTCAAGTAGTATTAGAATTCAACCCCCCCCCCCCCCACACACACACACACACTTATCCCCACCCACCCTTTCAGTAAATTTTTCAATTCGGATTTGGTTTGTGCATTTTCCTAGCTCATTTGGGCAATGTGGCCCCTGGGCGTCTTGTTTAGCGTATGACTGTACATGTGGATCACTTTGAAAACGTTAAGAGTACAGATCCATGCAAGATGAATTTGAATCAAATTTTGGAAATTGATATGTTACATCTCTACACTTAAAAAAAAAAAAATTATGAATTAATGTGAAAAATTTTTCAGATAATGTAATATCACATGTACAACCTTTTCCTTTCGTAAGAAATGAAAATAAAAAACACTTGACTGTTCAGTTATCCAATGAAGCGAGCTCTGTAAATTTCATTTACCTATTTGAGAATTCTTTATAATTAGCTCACCTGAGCCAAAGGCTCAAGTGAGCTTTTCTGATCAAAATTTGTCCGTTGTCTGTCGTTGTTGTCGTCGTCGTTGTCGTCGTCGTCGTCGTCGTCGTTGTAAACTTTTCACATTTTTGACTTCTTCTCAAGAACCACTGGGCCAATTTCAACCAAACTTGGCACAAAGTATCCTTAGGTAAAGGGGATTCAAGTTTGTTCAAATGAAGGGCCACGCCCTTATTCAAGGGGAGATAATTAAGAAATTATAAAAAATTGATGGAATGTTTCAAAAATCTTCTTCTCAAGAACCACTGTGCCAGGAAAGATGAAACTTATAGGGAAGCATCCTCAGGTAGTGTAGATTCAAGTTTGTTCAACTCATGACCCCTGGGGGTAGGGCGGGGCCAAAATGGCCGACCAAAATTTTACATAGAAATACACAGGAAAATTCTTTAAAAATCTTCTTCTCAAGAACCACTGTGCCAGGAAAGATGAAACTTATAGGGAAGCATCCTCAACTAGTGTTGATTCAAGTTTGTTCAACTCATGACCCCTGGGGGTAGGGCGGGGCCAAAATGGCCGATCAAGGATTTACATAGAAATTCATTGGAAAATTCTTTAAAAATCTTCTTCTCAAGAACCACAATGCCAGGAAAGACGAAACTTATAGGGAATTATCCTCAGGTAGTGTCGATTCAAGTTTGTTCAACTCATGACCCCTTGGGGTAGGGCGGGGCCAAAATGGCCGACCAAAGTTTTACATAGAAATACATAGGAAAATTCTTTAAAAATCCTCTACTCAAGAACCACTGTGCCAGGAAAGACAAAATTTATGGGGAAGCATCCTCAGGTAGTGTAGATTCAAGTTTGTTCAAATCATGACCCCCGGGGTTGGGCGGCGCCAAAATGGCCGATCAAAGATTTACATAGAAATACATAGGAAAATTCTTTAAAAATCTTCTACTCAAGAACCACTGTGCCAGGAAAGATGAAATTTATGGGGAAGCATCCTCAGGTAGTGTAGATTCAAGTTTGTTCAAATCATGACCCCCGGGGTTGGGCGGGGCCACAATGGCCGTTCAAAGTGTTACATAGAAATATATAGGAAAATTCTTTAAAAATCTTCTTCTCAAGAAACACTGTGCCAGGAAAGATGAAACTTATAGGGAAGCATTCTCAGGTAGTGTAGATTCAAATTTGTTTAAAGCATTACCCCTTGGGGTAGGGCGGGGCCAAAATGGCCGATTAAAGTTTTACATAGAAATATATAGTAAAAATTCTTTAAAAATCTTCTTCTCAAGAAAAGCAAAGGCATGAATGATCATATTTTTATAGAAGCATCCTCAGGCAATGGACATTCAATTTTTGTTCAAATCATGACCCCAAGGGGTAGGGCGGGGCCACAACATGGAATCCAAGTTTTACATAGAAACATGTAGAAAAAATCTTTAAAATTCTTTTCAAGAATAGCAAAGCTATGATTAGTCCTGTTCATATGGAAGCATTGTTGGGTAGTGTAGATTCAATTTTGTTCAAGTCATGACCCCTTGGGGTATAGGGCGGGGCCACAATGTAAGTTAAAATATGAAGGGCAATAAAGCCACAGGAAATCAAAGAAATATGCATGCATCCTTAGTTATTGAAGATTCAAGTTTGTTCAATATTTTTAAATCATACCATCTCCCTTTTAAGGATTGGTTTAGACCACTACTGGGTATAAACTGATTTCTGCTTTTTCCCTATCCTCATTACTCAGGTGAGCGATGTGGCCCATGGGCCTCTTGTTTATTATAGATTTTGTCATGGAAATGACCTTGTTACAGACATGAAGGCACTGGTTCGACAAAAAATTATGCACATTGCAGGTTGTGTGGAAAATGGAAGATACCAAAATTTGATACCAAGTATTGAGGATACAATTGAGATGATGATACAGTTATCACAGTTCACAGATATCGAGAACACGTTAAATTTAATGGAGGAGGCACTTCCACATTTAAATGGAATAATCAACTTAGGAGCTGATGAGAGTAGTATAGCTGCATGCCCTGGCCCAGAATTGGAGTATCATGGAAGAGGACGACCAACCTTTAAAATACCACAAGAAACATTAGAGTTTTTTCTTGACAATGGTTTTAAGGTTGCAGAAATTGCAAGGCTAATTGGAGTAAGTAAAAGAACAGTTGAAAGACGCCTTAGTGAAAATGTGTTGAGTGTAAGACAGTCATACAGTCAGATGACGGACGAGGAGCTGGAGGGTGAAGTGAATACAATTGTAACCGAATATCCGCATGTTGGTTACCGAACAGTATCTGCATTTTTACGAAGTAAAGGACACCGTGTTCAAGAAAAGAGAATTCGACATGCCATGCGTAATGTAGATTCATGTGGTGTGCTATTTAGAAGACTCGTTCTTTCGACTAGTCGAATTCAGAGGCGTTCATACAGCGTGACAGCTCCACAAGCTCT